AGTACATGCAAATCTTAAGTCACTATAATTTTTCAAAAAACCCATGAATTGGTTTAAAATTTTGCAGGTAGCTTTTTAATAGTAATAGGAACCTATGATAATAAATTCAACATGTTAACATTGTTTAAGTATATAGCCTATACATCCTTAATAAGACGGATATGATAAAATGTGGAAATTCAATGAGTTAGATAATATGTACATGTAGTATATTGCAAACAAATAAACTGTGAAATGTGCTCAGCAAGCCAGTCGATATATCAAACAAACGAGAGAGTACATCGACCTGCATCGAAGGAAAACACAATCGAGTCTATCGAAACGCGATGAGCCCGAAGGTACATCGGCCAACTGCTTATCAGATTTGTGTGAAGATACTGAAAGCGCAGCACCTGCCGCAAAATGCGAACCCAATGGTTGTGGTCAAAGTCGGCAATCGGAGAAAGAAGACTGCGGTTCGCGAAAGAACCGATTCACCAATTTATAACGAAGTAAAACTTTGAAAAATTATTTACAAATATTTATAGATCGCTTTACCCCGCGTACATTTTCCACCTGATTACAGTACTTCGTATTCGACTTGTTATGCAACGAAGAAGAACTGCTCAGTACTAAAATCATGATAGCCGTGTATTTGAAGAGCTATCTACGTTTTAAATTTCACGGAAGCAGTAGTTTCGAAATTGCTTTAGTATGGGATCAACCAGGTGACAATTGTTTAGTCTCGCCTAATCAGATGGAAGAAGTTTGTCTATATCGATTCCGATAGATCGTCAATATCACCACAAATGGGCGATGCTAATGAATCATAAGGACCTCACCGCAGGGCCGAAAGGTTACGTCAAATGTAACATCGGGATCAACGTGAAAGGAGAGAAGATGAAAGTGCACCCTGAAACCGAGGGTGAGGATGACATCGAAGGGTAATTATCGTTGCTTGCTAATTGCATGAAGAAATTGAGAAAAACCATTAATCCTTCGTCCATCTAATCCTATAAAAAGTAACGCTTTATCAAACAGTAGAACCTCGAGCATCGCAAAAAAACATTATTTAAATAACATTACTTAAAATTTACTTCGTAATTTTCGAGCGTCTAATGAACACTTTCGGTCGTTCCTATGAAAATTTTGTCCCCAATTGTTCATTTATATGCATAAAGCGTTTCCGATTAGTTCACGCGGAAATAGCGACACGCTGCAACGTCCATTTTAATGTTACATGGAGAGTATTCACACGAGACGTGTCACGCAATCGATTCGCGCTGGGCTCGAGAATTGAGAATACGTCTACTATGAACCGGAGAGCATGCTCGGTTAATGGAAGACGAATAATTACAGGAACCTCTTGTTACCCGTCGGAGAGTTCCTACCCTTCAGGCAACGTGCGCGTTACATTTTTGCGATCTACAGGGCGGACGGTTTGCCGGACATGAGCAGTCTTTGCACGAAGAATGATTTCGAAAATATCAACCCGTTCGTGCAAATATCGTTCGCCGGTATGAAGGTATGCACGCATCAAACGGCAAAATTGCACAAGCAAGCAATATATTAAACGATGAGTGAAAATTGATTACAATATAATTTTATAGCATCGATCAAGATCAGATCAGTTTTTAGCTTGAAATCATAATTGCTCGTATAAACAATTATTAATTGCGGGAATTTAATTTTTATTTGAAAAACTATTTAGAAGACGACGAGTCAAGCATGGCAAACGTACAGACCGAGATTCAACGAAAGGATAACGTTCAGAGAAATGTTTCCGTCCTTGTGTCAACGTGCCAGGATCGCAATCAAACATCGCATCGACAGCTGTCGAACTTGCGTCGTGGCATCTTACATTCTCAATCTGAGCAAAATATCGCATTCTGGAGAGTCCGGTAATTCCTAATTGTCTCATGCATCTCCTCGAAAATTGATCGTGCGTGTCGGTAAAATTAAGGGAAAAACTAAAAGAACAACGATAACCAACAGCGAATGAGCGACAGGACCCAAGTAAATGAATTAAAAGCCTGAACCGTCGAGTAGGAATAACAGTTGCAAACGAAACGTTGATTAACCGGGACTGTTTGCTCCGTTCTATTTGTGCTTTAAATTCCTCCACCCTCTCAACCTCGCTCGCCCCTGTTTTCTGTCTGCATTTAATATAACCAATGTCCTGTAACGTCCGATTCGATTCGATTCGGTTTACTTTTCTCTTTTTCTCCGTTCTTTCCTACGTTGCGCATACCTGTTTCGATTGTCAGGTTTGATTACATAAAAAGAGGAAGAACTGCGTCCATCAATCGGTCGCCAATTTGTTTTTGGTTCAGTGGAAAATGAACACATTTCCCCACGAGTTCGCACGGTCACTGTTCTCATGAAAATTGTACAACGTAAAACGTATCATGGTTATCAGGTTTCCTGCCAACGTTCGGACCATCGTTCATTCATTTTTATGGTTACGGGTGTACAGAAAAGAACAGCTGCTTTGGGAAATGCACGGTAGCCCTTCCTTTCTATCGAGGCAGGGTTCTTCTTTCTTTGAAAACTGAAATGGATGACTCCGAAACGACGGCTGGAACTACAGCCGAAGTGGATGCTACCGCTCCTATTATCGAGGTATAACACCGGCACGGTGATCAATTTTCTTCTTGGACGTTCGTTCTTCTTTCGAACATGTCATTACTGTGATTTAAGAAGATTCAATTTGGAAGTGCAAAAAATAAAAATGTAGGAGCATATTAAATCTGTTTCAGTAGATGTAGTTCTTACATGCTCAGACGTATTGCACACTTGCAGTATTTACTAAATTATGTGAATAATTTATTTAACCAGATAAGTCAGAGGTCAGATTTTATATTCTGATTTGTCATTATTAACCTTTCACGATTCTATATTTTCAAAGAGGAGCTTGTGGAGGACGGAAGAGTACTACTTGGTCGCGGTACTGTACGACATAAGTATGATCGATCGGAAAAGGTTTTGGACGAAATCCATATGCTTCGAGATCAGCCTTGGTAATGCCGGGAACAGACAATACGCTCGCAGCCAGGTCTACGAGGACGGTGAGGACCGAGTACTCTGATTTGTCCACAACGTTTCCTAATCCTCGGAAAATTGCGGAATCTCGACTTCCCCGTCGTACAAACCGCGCTTCCATTCCGGCAATTACTTGTTAATACGATCGACAAGTTTGCACGCCATGTGCGGCTACCCTCTTCATTGTAAAATGTGATTAATTTCTCTCGACAGGAAGCCAGATGCCGGACCGTAGACCGGAATTCGAGAGCCAGACCGTGCCACGATTGACCGGGACGTTGGACGGCAAATATAATTACGTTCCACTTGGATCGAGAAAACCGTGCCTCTACGTTAGATCTTCGTGGCCGAATCTCGAGTGGAGAATACACAACAGCAACAACCTGGCTTACATCGCTAATTTCCTTGTACGATTTACATCCTCAGCACTTCCATCAATCCGAAAAAACGAAAGAATTCGCTGATCTCGTCCTTGCAATATGTTCAAATTTTGATATTCCTCTTCTATGTCAGGGAAATGTAAGCAAAAGTAGAAAATTATTAATCGAAAGTTGAACGATCCAGGTCAAGTTACTCTCGAACTCTGTAAAGACCGTGTGATTCGAACAACTCGTGTCAAAAACTTTGAAAGCTCGGTTGTATTATTAACCACTTAATAAGCGGCGCTATTCGATGATGAGATGGAGCACTCGTTAAAATTGCAAACTGTGATTAACATCGGGAGGTACGGTCTCGAGGAAATATTTCATACATCCTCGAAGCGAATTCTCGCGCTGCCCTGGAAAGTTTCTTATCGATGTTGGAACGCCGAGAATAATTCGAGGCAAATTTTAATTGAACGGGACACAGGAGGAGAAGTTGGACAAACTGGAAGGCATGATCGCGTTGGAACATCCGGACGCTTACAAATTCTACAACGAGACGATTCGTGCAACGAAGAGTCACTGCATCCGGTATTTGCATACGCTAGATACGGGCAGATACGACGACGAGGGTGGCACCACGAAGCTCGATCGGCATCGCGTGAACCTCTGCCGTAAAGAGATCGAGAACATACTGAAGAGGATCAAGATCAACGGAGAACTTCCGAACAATCATTACACGAGGATCGCGATGGTGCACGCGTACCAGTACTTGGCCCGAGTGAACAAGTTACGGGAAGACGTTAGTAACCGAGTTTTATGCGCTTTTATCAGGCGAACTTTTTGTTTGTTTAATGATTCGATCCACGCAAATGACTGGTACAAAAAATTTTACGCCCAATACGGGACCGATTACGGATTATTCGTTCATAAATTAGCTACTTTGGAAATCTGATAAAAAGTTTCATCGATATTCCTCCGCAACGGCTCACGGAAACTTCGATCTACGTAAATTCGGACTTTAGAATTCCAACGGAAACTCGTGAGGACGTATTCAATTTAGATCGCTATTCTTTCGTCGCGGTGAAAGCCCGGGAGAAAAAAGCGAGCTTTTAAACGCTTCGACGTGACCGTACGAACTTTCTTCTTCTCGGCTTTCTTCAACTAACTTGTTTCGGGACGAGACACTGATTTACGAGAAAGAAAAGAGCGAACTCGTCAGCCGGAACTTTTATTCTTTACGGATCTTATCCTATTTCTTCGTTTTCCTTGAAAATTTTCCGGAGAAAGAACCGTCGCGCGCTGACCTTTCATACGCGAGCGCCGCGTATCCTTGGGAAATAAAATATTTAAGGAGAAACGACGAGAGTCCCCCTGCTCGTTTCGCGTGCACGTCCCGATGGAAAATTCATTTCACTGGCAGCGACGCGTACCTACCATTTTACAAATTTACCCTAACCCTAGCCCCAGCACAGTCTCCCGCACGTTTTCATTTGGATGATAGCCGGCTCGAAGCGAGTGGCCTACAAGCGATTCCCGGCCGAACGGATCTTTTACTCTGAAGCGCTCACGGAGCGGGGACCACTGTGCGGCACGAAGATGGACGTATTCCTTAGGAACGCCAGAGACGACGAGGACGCCGATTACATCGCGTGTAAATTAGAAATGTTTCTATGGCTGGGCAACGCCGAGTACGTGAATGCCTGTTGGTCCTCGATACCACCCGGTTACAACGTGGATCATCACGAGAACGTGGACTCGTTCCCGAAATATTTCGAGTACACTCGTTCCGCGGTATGTCAATTTTTTCACGCAGCACGGAGCAAGGTCAAGTTTTGAACGGATCCGAGCGTAGACGCTTTAATTAATGCTGGCATTCAGGAGACGCTGCATAGAAATCACGGTATAATTTTTTTTTTAATTAATTACCTCGTTGCGCTATAGAGTTCTGTATTTCGCGAAATTTCATCTGTTTTTAGTATTCGATTGATATAAACTCTATTCATTAATTCTATGAGACTCGAATATTGTTATGTTGAACACCGCGTAATGCGAGAACTAATTTAAATTTTCCTAGTAAAGCGATCCCCGAGCGAACACGCCTTTTTACGTGGAATCGAATACACATTTACTACACTTGTCACACTATTATAAACTTCTGCAAGAATCTTTAGTTCCCCTGAAATCTACGTGATTTACATAATGTACAAGAAACAAAGCCGTGTTTTTTTAAATTGAAACGCCGTCGATCTCGTTACCCTAATATCCGATTGAGGTGATCAAACCGATTGGCTCAGACCCTTATACGAGTAACTATCGGTATCCGGATATAATCAGAGCGTCGCGCGTTGCCGGGAGCGATGTTCAGCGATCCAGAAACCAAACTTGACGTTGATCCCCCGTTAGAGCTTTCCGACACCATTTTCGGAAGAGCATTACCGTTAATACCGCTCACCGGAGAAATATTCCGACGCGACGCAACGCGACGGTGCTTAGGTTGCGCTCGTTGCAGCCGTTCCAATTGCGTGCTCACATATTCCAAGGTCGCTTTGATCCCGGCATGGATGCATCCGGTTTATTGGATCCGTTTGTACGCGTCGCATTTCACGGTTACACAGCTTCAACCAGAGTAAGTTTCATACGTCGATAGAGTTCATCCACGTTTCCTGAACTCAACCCAGTTATTATTATTATACCTACGGCCACTGCCGAGATTTCCGTGCGATCCCGTTTCGAGGAATTCAGAGAGGATCCGTTATTTCTCAATAAACGAAATCCGACGGAGACCAATTTCCGCGAATGCCAGATACCTCTCGCTTCCTCGTGACTTTGTAAGATGAAATTTTTATAAAGAGGAGCTTGAAAACTTTGAGACCGACAGAAAATTCCTAAGTCTTCTAAGGATTACTGGTTTACTATATTTTGAAGGTTCTTAAGCAAACGCTAGACCCGTTTTGGGATCAAACTTTGGTACTGTCGCCGAGGACCTTGCACGGAACGAAGGGTTACATCAAATCGAATCCGCCCAATGTAGTTGTAGAGGTGTTTGATCTAGATATATGTGTAAGCAGTTCGTTCATTATTATGCGAAATTACTCTTGCAAAATTATCTGGATATAATTAATTAATATGCAAGCGAATTGCCTGTTTTAAACATCTGACGGGGGGAACTGAAATTTGTAGGGTATAAAGGAGTTCTGCGGAAGATGCACGGCCATGCCATTAGTTAAACTAGCAGAGGAAACTTACTCGCCACCTGATTTCCCACCGAAACTTGAGTGGTACAAATTTAAATCGCAAAGGGAGAACTGGCTCGGCTCGTTGCTCGCCGCGTTCGAGCTTATAGAGGTGAGAGACAGAGAATGCCGATACTAATCGATATTCGCCTCGCTTTTCCCGACGTCCTCGTCGTTAATGAATCCTTCTGTCGTCTTCCGCGCGGATTCATCTCGAGAGTAATACTCACGCGTGTCCCCAAATTCCTTAAACCGCATTCACTCGAATGTTAAAATACAAAACCGGCGATTTAAATGATGAAAAAATAAAGCGATCTAAATGACCTCATAAAAATTATTTCCGTAATTGAATGATTTATTGCACGTCTTACATCGGATAATGAAGCTACGTAATTAATGGAAATGAGATAAGCGCGTTCATGCATCATTTCCAGACAAAGCCCGATAAATCCGTCGACAGGCCGACAGTTTATGCGACGACGGAGGACATCATTTACAACATCCCGGAAGACATCAGGCCAAGAATGACGAGTTACAGGCTCGAAGTTATATTTTGGGGCGTGAGGGATATGAAGAAGATTTATTACATGCCGGTGTTAAACCCACGAATCGTCGTCAAGTGCGCCGGGGTCCACGTGAAGTCTGAAGTGATGGAGAACGCTAAGAAATTCAGTAACTACAAGAAGCCTCACGTTATCGTCGATCTGGTACTTACTTAAAAACGGTTTCTCACTCGGCGAGTCTGAACTGATTCGAGAATACCATTCCTAAGGACATGCCGGAACTCGATATCTATTACCCGTCTGTCACCATAACGGCGCACGACTCGCGAGGATTCGGTTGCTTCAAATATGCCGGGATTTACATCATACCGAGCATGAACGTCTTTCTGGAGCAATTAATAACAGAGGAGGAGTACAATGCCCAAATACACGAGAGCAGATGTATACTAAAACCGCCGTGGGGTAAAAAACAACCAATTACCATTCGTGAGTCTTTTTCTACAGTCGTTCTGTATACAAAAACAGTGAATCTTCTAAGGAAATGGAATTAAAATAATATCAAATCTGTCTGAAAATGTATTTATAACATGCTTAAATATTTCGGAGCTACTTTAAGTTGTTACTAAATATTTGAACCGCTGAGCTCCACCAGCGAGAGTTAATAACGAAAGCTCATGGAAACTCTAGCGTTCCATTCGAATACCGTGGAAAACTTGGTTAATTAAAGTATCTGAGCGGAATAATAATCCGCGAATAAACGTTTTTTATCAACACTTGAAGAACATCCGCGAGCATCGACTGCCTGGCCCGGAAATCACGAGTCAGGATTAACTCGCGCCGAGTTATTAATGGATTTATCAGATTTGCCTTGTCTGTCTGAAAATCCTACGAGGAAGTTCATCGACCTTATCTTCCGCATTTAACCTATCTCAAATATTATTTTAAAAGCAGTGCATATTAAAACGAATTAAGTCCTTTCTCTGTCAATTTAAATCAATCTAAAATCACTCCCGGTTTTAACTTGTACTTTTACTTGTAACTCCGGAAAAAAGGTTTAAAAAATAAAATGAATTGGTTTTCAAGTACCGCTGCCGATCGATTACGATCCGTCAAAAGAGGAGGAGAACAAGGAACTGATTCCTTACAAAAAGATGGACGGGAAAATCTCGTGGATGAAAAAGATTTTAGGGTCTTTGAAGAGATTTCTTTCGCGTCTGTTTTCGGGCAAAAGGAAGAAGAAAACTATCGAGAAGGCGGATCAGGAGGACGAGTCGGGCGACTGGTGGACCAAATATTTCGCATCCCTAGAGGTGGGTGCACGGAAAAGGAATCACACGAGTAATCCGTTGTGTATGTAAATCGCCACGGGTCGTTGGTAAGTAGCACGTTTCCAGGTGGAGAGAAGCAGAGAGCTGGGGAGCTTTTCTCCCGGAGATCAGAAGCTCGTTGCGACGTTCAAGGTACAGAACCCATACCGCTTTAGCGAATTTTCACGAGCTTAGCTGTGTCTCATTGAACGGGAAAATAGGTATACAACGGGGAACTCGAGGTGCAGCCGCAATTCGCCGGCTTTCACGATCGACTGAGAACGTTCGAGCTTTGGAGAGGTCAGAAGAGCAAGGATACCGATTACGATAGCGACCATTACGTTGGAAAGTTCAAGGTTCATTCCTGTGTTTGGGATTGCGGAAGAGCTCAACTATCTGTACAGTCATATATCGTTCATTTAAGTGGACAGTCCTTTATTTCATCAGTCTGTTCTTTAGATTTATTATTTCTCTGACCTGTCCATCTTGTACTTTATTTTCTAAAAAAAATGTTATCTACCTTCGAAATTATTGATTAAATCCAGCTTCACTTGTTTTATTCATGCTTCGAGTAAAAAAAAATTAAATGTTGCAAGAATCTGCTGAAACTGAAATTCTATAACAGGGACGTATTTGTGTGTATCGCTGGCCGCATCCAAGCAAGCAGCCCTGCAAAACGAGAAGCGGGAGAAACGCGGCTAACGGTCTATGCGACGATTATCCGAGTACGGAGCCTGTCAAGCTTCTGGTCAGGCTGTACATTGTGAAAGGTGTGGGTGCGACCATTTTATTTTTACACGCAAACGAGCTCGCGCGGTAAAACGAATCGATTCGCTTCGTAGGCATCAACTTGCAGCCTAGCGATCCCCTAAGTGGAAAGTCTGACCCGTATCTATGCGTTCAGATCGGCAAAACGTACATCAATGACAACAAGAACTATATACCCAATCAGCTGAATCCCACATTCGGCCGGTACGACTTTAATTTCATCTGAACTGTCGCATTATGATTCTTTCATCCGTTTCATCCTGGAAATTCTCTTTTCAAGGAAACTCATCTCTTTCCCTATTTGAACAGAGTGAATTATCTACGAATCTCTCTCTTTTTTACTACTTTGTCTGCAACCTTCGTCTGCATTATGAATCTCTAGCTCATAATTTCTTGCAGCAGCTAATAAAATTCTCTTACAAAAAGTTAAGCTTCTGGATCAGGTTTAAGTCAAAGCGCATAAGGTGGATAAAGTGGATTACTTTACAGACTGTTCGAAATAGATGCGACATTCCCTCAAGATTATATGATAGTTGTGCAAGTGTGGGATTACGATGCTACCTCGGGTGATGATTTAATAGGAGAGACGAAAATCGATTTGGAAAATCGATTTTATAGCAGACACCGTGCTACTTGCGGCATAGCGAGGGAATATCAAACGGAGGGATATAATAAATGGAGGGATCGCGAGACGCCAAAGCTGATACTCGAACAGCTCTGCAAGAAGAATCATCTCCCTCCGCCAGAGTATGGAAAGGAATATGTAAAGATCGGAAAAAAGAGGTTCTTGCTCGATGACAAGCTCGTCGAAACTACTGGTTTGTTTCTAAAATTAACATTCCGGAATTGAAAAAGCTATGAACGATCGATCGATTTTATACAGACAGAGAAGAACGAATGGCTTTAGGTGTGCTTCATCAATGGCAAGATTTCCCCATTTGCGGTTGTGCTCTGGTGCCCGAACATGTCGAAAGACGGCCCCTTTTTAACACCGAGAGACCCGGTTTAGAGCAGGTTATAAAAAAGAAGTACTCATTTACTTAGACGACGTAGCTGGTAGAGATTGCATTCAAAGGGCGGTCTTCGCCGAAACTTTGATAAAATTTTTTTAGGCAAACGATACTCATCTTGATGGAATTAGTTTTTTTATTACCAAGAGTCATATTTCGTTTAATTATAACCTAAGGTTTTATATATGAATAGAGTTAATGTTATCGTAAAAACGACTTAATTATTGCCGACGTCAAAGCGAGATCTCCGCTTAGGGTCAACTGGAACTTTGGGTTGACATGTTCCAATACAGTGAGCTGCCTCCGAAATCGGCAGTGAACATCGCTCCGCCCGTACCGGAAGAATACGAAATTCGCGTGATAGTCTGGAATACCGAAGCAGTGCCTCTCGTCGACAGTCAATTCCTCACGGGAGAAAAATGCTCCGATATTTACGTAAAAGGGTACGTCGAACAACTGTTAATTTTCGTAATAAAAAATAATGCGAAATGATTATAGTTGGATTCATTACGACGACTACCAGAAGACTGACGTTCACTACAATTCTCTGACCGGCGAAGGAAATTTTAATTGGAGGTTCGTGTTCCGCGTGATATATTCGAAAGGTGAACGTGTCATGATCGTGCGAAAAAAATTGTCCGTGTTCGCTGTGAGCGAGACCGAAGAGAAATACCCCTGTAGATTGCACCTGCAAGTTTGGGACAATGATCATTTCTCTCCCGACGACTTCCTCGGTAAAACGAATGATTTTAATCAGTAAAATCGAAACGAATATCGGACGTTTTTAGGAGCATTGACCTTAGAACTGTCTAAAATGCCTCGGGGAAGTGCAAATTCGAAAACTTGTACTCTGAAACTACTCGACCCGAGTTTGCCAACTATAGACTTGTTCAAAGTAACGAGGATTAGAGCGTGGTGGCCGTTCAACCGAAGCAAGAATAGTGGACAATACATCCAAGCAGTATGTGTCACGAATTATGATCTTTTCTGCTCTGTCTCCAAGGAGTAAAATCTCTTCTACGATGATTAGAAATTCAATTCATAAGACTTCGATACTTCTCAATATTGCTTACCAGAAGTGTACAACGAGCATCGCGCTACCTACTTATGTAACTCGACCTTATTTTCTTTTACTTTTGTTCCGTAGTATTCGTAAAATATTGAAATAGGTTCACGTGACGTAACATATCGATTCAGGGGAAAGTCGAACTGGAAATGTCGATATTACGAGCTGAGGAGGCCGACGAACAACCAGCGGGCAAAGGAAGGGATCCGCCACAAAATCTGCCCCCGCCAAAGTATCAAATTTCATTTTATTTGCATCACCGCGGTTCCTGACGTTTCATTTATAAACTCCAATTAGTCGGAAAATCCAGTTGGGAAAGTTCTATTTTTCAGCGGAGAACTTAGATCCGAATAATTTCTGACAGACATCAACCCGATAGAGACGTTGAATTCCGATCAATTTCGAATACGAACAAATCCGTTTTGAGCTCGGTAAAGAATTGTCAAATTAACCACGGGACATTTAACGAAATATTTGATTATCTATTATGAGAGAAACTTATGGCTATTCAGAGAGTGCAATTATTTCATGCAATGGATCGTATAAAGCTACACGGACGGAGCCGAAATAAAATAGCTGTATAGCATAATGACCGTATCAAAGCTGACTGCATCGCTCAGCCGCAAATTAAATTAGCGTAGATATCGCCTGCCGTCCGACTTAAACGCATTAATTTTCGATTTTGACGTGTATAACTGAGCAAGCAACTACGAGTAACCAGATTATTTCGTTAAGTCGGCACGGTTAATTCGGGACTCTGACGGGCAACGTATCCCTGGTTAATCTTTAGATCTAGCTATCCACTTAAATTACCCGTCTGCTACGTCGCTGGCACAAAGAAAGGTCGAACGATAAAATTAACCGGTGTCCCATTGTACGAATAGTAATCACGCCGAACGCTCGAGTTCGTTTACCCGTCAAAGAGACGTAATTTTCTCACCAACTTTTCCCCAATAAGTTTTCAATCTACACACATTTTCATCTGGACGAAGTTTCTTTCCGCTCGACATACATTTCTAGTTAATTCAGTCTTTTTAGTGTTGAAGCACGAAGTTCATTTATAAAAGCAGTTAAATAAATGTTCATAGTAGAAAAGAATTTGGACATAAATTATAACATCCAGTTATGTTAATTCCGAATATTGAACGTGCATATATTGCACAACATTAAAATATTTGAAGTGTACAAATGTAAGAACGTTGAACCGATAAACATTGCGTTAACAGTAAGACCAAAAATTTGAAACACGTGAGCTGGAAATCGGATCGATAGTGACTGGAGATCATAATTAAATCCCAGTCGGACAGGCATCCGGCCTTTATTAAAGCGTCATTATGTAATTAATCAAATATCGGTAACTGGCTTTGTTACTAATACCCGTTCCTATATTCATGAATTCATTGAAAACGCATCATTTCTCGCGATACAAATCCATTACGTTTGATCTTCCCTTGATTCATAGCCGACCCGACACCTCGTTTTCTTGGTTTCGCAACCCGTGGAAGGCATTTCGCTACGTGGTCTGCCGTTATTACAAATGGAGGATAATTTGCTGCTTCGTCTGCATACTCGTGGTACTGCTGGCTGGCTGCGCGATCTACGCTTTCCCTGGCTACTTCGTCAAACGTCTTCTCGGTGCTTGAAAGAATCGGACCAAGTAATCGAGTTTTACCAACATACGGCACGATACGAAGACCGTTTCGGTTGTAAATTAGGAATTGGGTCGTAGGACGGATGAATTATCGATTTCGACCACTTCACGACAACGGCAGCCGGTATTTCGGCGCTGTTAATTATGGGATAACACAATGACCTGGTGAACGGGCATTTTACTAATTGACAACTCGTTGTTTATTGCCAAGTCCGAATCAACGATCTAATCGCTCGAAGCCAATGGAAATAACCAGCAATTTATTATACTCGTTATAGGTATTATTGTTATGTACTCTTTCACCCAGTTTATTCACGTTAATGCAGCTTAATAAAGAACGTTATACGTGTACACATCGGGCCATTTACATTTAATTTTGAAAGTAGCGGATTCGGACATGGAGACACGTACATATGTCCTGAAACAAATCTCGCGGACTAATCCGATTTGTAGCAAAGTCGTGAGTTCGCGAATATTTGTCATGCACGTGTCTCGAGTTATTCTCTCGTATCACGATATCTCGCTGAAAATACCTCGCAAAGACGTGCGGACCGAAACGAATCGATACCCACGGTGCAGTGGAAGCACGCGACGAATAAAAATGCACGTACGATTGAACGGGGTTGAACTTCATCGAAGTTCATGATTCCCGGTAATTTAGCTTAAACAATGTTTCCGTCGTGGTTTCGCCCGTGGTTCGATAGAACGGTGGTCAGATGGAAAATCAGGTAACGTGACGTAACGCGAGAAAAATCGATAACCCGGCCGTTTCGCGCGAAAAGTTTATTGAACTCGACTTTTTTTAATGGCCGCTGCCCGCTTCGAGCCGGCCAAGATTCGCAAGCCTACCGTTTTTACGACATCCAGTCGGGTTTCCTTTTCCTTTGTATCTTTCTCGATCCTCGGTCCGCTCTCGTCTCGTCGCGATAAACCTCTTTACGGCTGAACTCGAGGGGACGCTTCTAAGTAATCTAATCTTCTTTTCCGTCGGACCGACGCGACGAGCCGCAATTCGCGACTTTCCGATGAAACGCGATGCTCCGCGCAAAAAAAAAGATAAATCTCGCCCACTTTCGCGTTGGTTCCAGCTTCGCGCGGCTCTCGCCCGAGCTTGCACGGTTTTTAGTTTCCCAGATTGTTACGGACGTTCTCAATATTGTCAGGAATAACAGCGATTTCTATCGCTTCGAATTTTATTTTCCGAAAATGGTTTCCCTATTTGCGAATTTTTTATAACTTGCTGGCGAAAAACCGTAACGATACTTATCTATGAACTCCGAACGAGTTCTAGACGGCGGATAGTATAAATATAGATAAAGTTTCATCGAGTTTGCCCGGAGAGAATGATCGACGCTATACCTTCGCGTGTATTCCTGGCGAAACTTTTATCATTATCATCGCTTGTTACCGATATCAAGACCCTTTCATGCGTCGTTCTTCAATGCTTTTACCATAACAGAAAAATTCGATACGAACTTGTCTTACTATTTTTGCCCATCAAAAGCATCAGACGTGTCATGCATAACGTCGCTCCACGAAAATGTGATTGAATACCTACATCATTATTAATAACTGTCAAGCATCGTACTATGCTTTTGCCACCCTGCATCAGAAATTACCCTGATATAAAAATCACTATTGGTTCGTACATACATAGCTACGCAGAACGGAGATTACTTAAAATTGGCAGCAGCATTAGGGAATCACCGATATCAAATTGCAGCTACATTAGGATCGGAACCATTACGTAAGTTCAAACGGCAGGCGAGGCGCGCAGGTATATGTATAGCTGGAATAAACACGAGGGCGAATCAATGGCCGCGAAAGGGGTGAACACACGCGAACCCGGTGGATATGCGGCGGCGAATCCATAGTTCGCGACCGCATTCGCGTTGCATGCGGCAAAAACCAGGTCTCTGGGAAACCGGTTAAACAGTCAGAAAACAAGGGAGGTTTCGACGCGATGGGTAGAACGATCCCCCTATCATACCTACGGCCCGGATGAGTTTGTCAGCCAAGTTTTCGGGCATACGCGAATTCACTTATTACAAGCCCGAGCGAGGAGTCACGCGAATGCATATGCAACCGAGACTAAATTCGGTCTTAATGCATCGCGTGCTCCCTATCCCACAGCCAGATCGAGTATCTCTCGATTCCCCGGGCCAATGACCCGACTCGGTGGAAAAGTTTCCACTGGTTTCTAGCGATAACGCTGAGATTTCACCCCACGACCACCGTTACGATGGAATTATGAAAGTACGAGCAACGGAGGTTCACACAATCTTTTAATTCATCTTTTTGAATTTTCATGTGTTTCCACAATGAAAAGGTATTATACTCTTTGTTAATATAATAGACAGTAAAAGTCGTAACTGTAAATCCTTCAATTCATAGCGAAGGTAAAAATATGGTTTAATACCGAAATTCTCCCCAAAAATAGCGATTCCCAAATAAAACAGAAAGGTGGTAACGTTCTGAATTATCCCTGTCAGCAGTTAGCAAACGGCAACTGCCATAGTTGTCACGAGTATTTTGCTACTATGGAAATTTTTTGAAACTGAGTATGGAACGCAGTTGGTTAGCTTCACGGACAGAAAACTTCGTCCTCTGCCTGGCTACTGTTTAATGGTTAGGGAAAAATTTATTCACAGCGTGTGGCCAAACGAGGAACAACTTTCTGCACGCGTATGTGTTTCAATTTTTCAAAGTGGGTTGAGAAAAATACCAACGGTTGCTACCAACCGTTAATGGGGCGCGAGACGCGAATTGCAAGAAGCGTGTAACATCGCGTTTCGCTCAAGCTTTCAGACACGCCGTTGCGATCGGTACACTGTACGAGCCGTGAAACTTTCCAGCTATGCAGGCACGCGGAGCACGCGTGAAACGGACAGATTCTCTCGTGCAATTTCTTCCGTACCGTGGACATTTTGCAACGGAGCGAAGTCGATTGTTGGCCGTTGGCCAGTTATCGGACCCTATTACACCCGCGACCATTAATATCGCAATCGTAGACACACGTTCGTGCCTCGAAAATTTAACGCCACTAGTTCCTGGAACGACTAGAACGGCGGAATAAATTTCGTTACATTATTTAATGACCATAAATCGTCCCTTCTTCCGTGCTAGTTCGCGTGAACGGGCTACCACCCACATTTCCACCATCTGACTAACTCTTTACTCTACTAACATCTGGTCCTCGTGCCGCGCGCCAAATTTCTTAGGCATAAAGTCGGAGATAAATATCTTTAGCAATACATGTGATGGATTGACCGTAATACCGATGTCCAAGGAACCTCAGCATTCTTAAATAAGTGATGTATAATTAAATAATATGATCGACTGTATTTAAATTTTAAGAAACATATTCCTCGATAACCCTGCATAATACTCATCGTTTACGTTGTCATGGTTACGAATCGCAAGTAGAATGTGTCAGTCGGTCAGTACGAGCTAACGAGTAACGATACGCTCTGTGATATCAGAATGAGCAAGCTAGCTTTCGGCGACCGGGTCGCGATGCATGCTCTGAAAAAGTTGTCGCGAGACAAATTCCCAGGCATTCGCGCTCACCCTTCTCGTTGTCGCGAAAGGGTTGCCGAGCGTGTGCACGGGCACACCGGCAAACGAGGTCGTGTCCAAGTTTCAGGCAAGTTCTGAGAAATGTCGAAAACTAATGTTTCGCAACATTGATAAAGTACAAAATAATAGCTTGATTCATTTTACGAAGTTGTGATCAACACAGAAATTGAGTTAGCAAAAAAAAACTTTTCAATTTTGCTCGTGTTTTTTATCGCAAGTACTTGGATAATGCTTTTAACGAGACTTCCTACATTTTAACCGGAACGCTACTTCGTAATCCGTTGGTACTGTTAAAAAGCTTTCTTAGAGATGACACTTTTCTTTAATTATTCCTGACAATATACTCGTACACATTTGACCGAGTTCTTTTTTACTAGCTATTACAAACGATTAGTTCGGAGAGCTTTCCCGGATAACTACTCCTGCGAGTGCAATTTTTTCGCGTTTTATCCGGCTGTTGCACTTTCACTTTAGAAAGAAGAAATTAAAAGAACAGTTTTACATTTCGAAGATATTTTTATGAACTTGCCATGCATGGAAACCCTTTGTATCCCTGGGCCTGGGCCAGGTATCTCGAGACACAATGAGCTGATTAACGTTTTTAACGATAAACCTCGTCACCCAGCACCAATGGTTTCATGTCACATTAAATTATGTCTTACCGTATAATGTAATACAGATGTGTATAAGCTTAAACGGAGCTTTGCAATGCTTTTTAAGCAACGACTTGCAAAATCTTAGCAACACGCAATAAAATATTAAATGTGTACGTTACCATATCTGGATCGAATTTTGTAGACACGCACCGGTTTCTCCAGCTTTCAGAAATCCTGGCACATCTCCTTTTATTCAAGCATCCTCTTGAAAGGTTAGGCCACAGTCTATCGGGAAATCTTCCGTTAGTTCCTATTTCACGGTGCAATATTATTTATGCGCGTGATTCGCAGCAACGAGGCGAAAGAATACTTACGACACGTCGTAAACCACGACCGAACGAGTTACATTTTAAATTCACTATCAATGCGATAACAGACGGAATGAAAAATCGAACGGAACTTTACTCACGTTAATATTTCCGACACCACGACAGGCCCGTCAGAAATGTGTCTAACGGAACATCGATAGTCAACAAAGGCCACGCTTTGAAATACGGAAATTCATTTCCATAAAAGAGAAAGAAACGGTAAAAAAAGTTCGTGTTCGTGCAAGCACTTGTACTGCATCGTATAATGATAGGCTGCGCGAATTACCGACAATACTCGCTGAAATTCTTAAGCACAGTTTTACGTATTTGAGAAGAGAAATTTATGTGCATCTAATTATGTGTAATCTAACTGCTAGATTCAAATTCATATGCACGAATTTTATAATACTTACATTCAATCTTATTAATAGAATCATATCCATAACAAGGTTAAACACTATGCACATGTATGTAAATAAATCCAACCCATTAACACTTTGACCGTTCCACAGAGTATGCACATCACTCACCATGTATCGCTAGCACTAATTAGTGCCGCGTATCGCGTACTTGCGTGTTTATTTTTAGTCAAAGTAGAAAAAGTTGAATGTACATATAATAAGCAGTAATATCTGCGTATTATTATGAAAAAGGACTTAATTCCGTGTGATCCTGATGCTCGTGACATTCGCGAG